GATGTGCAGGACTACTTGTATGGCACACACCACTGGGGGCTTCAAGAGGGAGTAAGGCTGGTGGGCTCTGGAAGAACAAAGGAAGGCCTGTCATGGCTGCCTCCGCTGTTTCAGCAAGTTAGGATCAGCTGTAGCGCCGGTGAAGTTCATTGTAACAGCAGTGCCATTTAATCAGGATAAAGGGGCTGTGACGTATCTGTGGGTGATGTCGTCTTAAAAGAGGCCTGCAGAGTTTGCAGAAATGGTGGGAAAACACCCGCTCAAAACTAGAATGGTGCTTGTTTTAGTTTCTCTTTTCCCTCAGTGGCCTGAGTGAATTCTCTCCCTCTCATAGTTGAGGCCCAGAAACTGAGGCAGTGTGCCATGTAACTCTTTAGAAGTCACAGTTTTCTCTTGGAGCAATAAAAAGCCCTCATGTCAAACCACTTGGATCTGTTGTGTCTGTGAAGGTTAAAGCCCAGGGATGGCAAGGCTGCCGCGCCCCCCCCCAAAACTCATGGGGCGATTCTAGGGCTGAAGGCAGGCTGGGAAAGCATGGAGGGTTTCCGCTATGAGACTAAAGATGTTGCCTGCTGGATGCCAGGTCTCTCCAGGTAGAAACATTTGAGAGGAGAAGCAGAATAGATTTCCCAGAGGCGAAGAGTACCCATCTCAAGTACCAAGATTCTTATCAGAGATACCTGCTCTAAGTATCTTGTCACGGCTGTCACCAGATCTGCAAGGAATGGTAGACTTGTTCTCTGATGCTATCAGGGCTTTTCAAAACAAAACAAAATGCACCATCTATAAAATATGTGGCGCCAGGTAAAGTGTGCAGTTTTAAAAGGGCTTTTGCTGCAATCCAAAATCTAAATACATATTGTGAAAGTTGTTTTTCTGTTAGCTGATATAAAACAATGGCTAGGAACAATGTGAAAAGGCAAGCACACCACCCACACTCTGTTACAGTTATTTCTCCTCCTTGCTAACAGCATCCTCTGCAGACCCCCATCGCTGTTCTACAGAGTGTTTATCCTTGCATTCAAGGGTGTGTGTGTGTGTGGGGATATCATCCTAGACCATGGGGAACCTTTTCCTGAGAAGTCTCATGAAATTGTCAGAACTGCGATCTAGGTGGTGATACCAGAAAGTATGATGTTGTTAAAGCGGACACCCAGTGTGGTACAGTGGATAGAGTGAAGGGCTAGGACTCAGGAGATCTGGGTTCAAATTCCTTTTCAGGTGTGGAAACTCACTGGTAGAATCTGTAACTGATAAAACCACTCCTTAAATATCTCACTTGTCTTGCAAGCCCTATTAGAGTCACTGTTAGTCAGTTCTGGCTTGGTGGCACATAATATAACAAAACTGCTGAACTATTTGTACGTCTGATGTTGTTTTCTGTATTTCTTAATTATAGCATGCCTCAGTCTAGTAACATTTTATCGGAGTTCATGCTGCCTCCTGTGGGTAGATGCATTAAAGTCCCAGGATTTATTTATATTTTTGCCACTCCTTTTTGGAAAAAATCTTTCTCATCAAACAGTTTTGAAACATCTTTACCCAGAGGTAAGTTCCACTGAGATCAGTGGGGCTTACCTCCAAATAAGTAGCTGCATGATTGCCACCTGTATGTCATAGAATGTGAGCTGAAACAGCACAAGGGGACATGAGTATGGTTGCATGCTTATACATACACATTGACAGACAGATAGATATACCGTCACATTAGTGGACATTAGTGCATGCACTACTCTATGTGGCTTACAAGATAAAACTTAAAAATCTAATAGACCCCGTATAACAATACATGGTGGTAAAATAAATCATATAAAAAAGAAAATAGAGAAAAGAAAAAGAAAAAAATATGTGGGAGACTCAATTGTTGAAGGCAGCTATGAATAATTCGGTTTTCCAACTATTTTCTGAAGGTTTTCCAACTATTTTCTGAACATGAGGAGGAAAGGAGCCTGTCCTATCTGATCACTTAACTACTGTGCAGGTTTGTTTGCCTTCCTCACTCTCTGGAAAATTTCTGTAGAAAATCAGTGTTTCTCCCATGAGTATTAGTGGTATTATACTGTGTATTTAAATGGAGCAAGTGGAGAGGGCAGTTGGGGAGAGCCGTAGAAAATCAGTGTTTCTCCCATGAGCAAGTGGAGAGGGCAGTTGGGGAGAGCTGGAATGATCAGGCACTGGTAGTGATTTATCTCTAGCATAGATATGGCTCAGTCCTTGTTCATTAGCCTCTGCTTTTGTTCACTATCTTTTAGTGTGCTATTTGTTGAATCCTTTTAGTAATTGTATACTTGTTGTTAGCTTTAAATCTTATCTTTTCATGATGTAAGTTGCTGTGGGTACTTATTAACAAGAAGGTGGGATAAAAATATTTTAAATCAATCCATCAGTCAATCTCAGGAGTGGCTTTTTTCCCCTCTCAGGATAATTCGTTTTTATTTTATTTTGAGACTAAAATTCCTGTTACTTTATTTTTGGATGGAAACTCTCAGGATTGGTCATAACCCTTTCTAATTGGAAGATTCTGAGTTCTGCTCCCCACCCCGTTCTTCCCCCCCACTCCGCCCATGAGGTGGAAGGGCTGTTCCCTTTCCTTTTTTGCACTGCCATCCCCTTCCCTTTAACTCTCTCCTTCACTCTCCCATCAACTTCCTCATCTCTTTCTCTCTGCTCCCCTGCATCAGCCCCAAAGAGTTCCTTGGAGGAAGGAAAGATCGCTGGCCACAGGTCTGAACTTCCTTGGAAAGGGCTTGTAAAAGTAAAAAATCTGATGCCCTTTCTTCTCACTTCCTTCTGAAATGCTGATCTACACCGTTTCCAAATGTGTTGTGCCTGTCAAGTACATGGCAAAGCTTGTCTTCTCCATCTGGAGCCTCTGCTGTGGTTTTCTGGGTCTTGACATTAAATCACACATAAACAGAAATGAACATTTCCTGCTATCAAAATGTTTTCCCTTTGGGCACGTCATTCTTTCAGAGTTCAATGAGACTTACAGATAAAGCCTCCTGGGGACCAATCCACAGAACAAAAGCAGGCTACTTTGTGAGGTTTAGAGTCAAGCTTGTTGTAAGATAAACACATGCTTTTTATCATATGTGTGGGGGTTCTGTCTCCAATGACATGCTGGGTGTGTTGTACACTTTGAGCCTTGGTGGTGATGTTCCTGTTACTACAGCCAAATGCAGACCAGAATCTCCTTGTGTAACTTACACTACCGTAGGGTAAATCAACAGCCCCTCCTTGGGTTCTTGTTGTTTAGTCGTGTCCGACTCTTCGTGACCCCATGGACCAGAGCACACCAGGCCCTCCCGTCTTCCGTTGCCTCCCGGAGTTTGATCAGATTCATGTTGGTCGCTTCGATGACACTGTCCAACCAGAACCTTGGGTTCTGGTTTGTGTGAACGAAGGTACCCAGCTCAAGCACAATAAGGAATCACACTAAGGATTCGAATTGGCTGCAGCCTGCTGCTGTAGTGATGTTATTGCTCCTGCGCCAGTGTAAGTTATGCATTTTGGCTACAGTTTTCCAAATTTGCAAATGCTTAATTTGGCCATCTGCAGTTTTGATCTGTAGCTGCTGGTCAGAGGCAAATGGAAGAAGTGTATCTAGGGCATCAGCAGGCCACCTATTGACCGCTGGCAAGTCTGCTTCCCTCCCAAGCTTCTGACATTTCCAGATGAGGTCCTTTTTTTTGTTTGTGGACAGTTGCCCTGCCCCATTAAGATCATTTTACAGAGCTTCCTCCTGTGACTTCTCTTCCATCTGTTTTCCTCACACGAGAGGAAAAGCAATCCATAAAAGAGGAAAAGATTAAAGGGTTTAGATTGTGCATTTTGAGTGGTCATGCCCGAAATTGAAGCAAATTGTTTCTTGGAGGCACTTTTTTGTATTGAGCACAGCTAACAAACATCTGGTTTTTTGTTTTGCTTTGCTTTGCTTTTTTTTTTGTTTAGCATCCCTAAGTGGTTTAAATGTCTGACTGCAGAGGCAGAGGGCGGGAGTTCCATTCCTCATTATGTCTCCTATGAAGTAGACCCAGCCTGTGTGGCCTTGGGCAAGCTGCACAGTCCCAGAGTGTGCCCAGAAGAAGGGAATAGTAAACCACTTCTGAGTATTCTCTACCTTAAAAACCCTGGAAGTGGTTGCCATAAGTCAGAATTGACTTGATGGCACACAGTGATTATTATTTAAGGGCTAGAAACTTGGTTTCCTGTAAAATGCAGGCTGAAATGCTGAATTTTAGATCGGGGGGGGGGAAGCTTTCCCAGTTCTGTGACCTGCTTCACTCCATATAGTCTCACAGGTACATTGGAAACAGTTGTGATTTTGATAAGCAAAAACTCTTACCATTGGGAGTGGCAGTGATAGGTGATTCTAAACTTGGGGAGTAATGGTTTCACTAACAATGGATCCCTGTTTTGATGGTGAAATGTGTCTTATTTTGCTTACTTCAAAATGTGGTTAAGCCAGGCTTGCTGCATTGGGGAATCCTGTCTCTACAGTGGTCTCTTGTGCTTTTGACCGCAAATCCTCTGCTGGCAGAATCGCTGATGGCTGAAATTCCGCATTCTTAATGGCTCTGTGAAACTCCTGCTGCTCAAAAGCCCACAGTAAATCTTCAAATGTCTGCTGTTTAGCTTCTCACAACTGCCATTTTCTCCCCCATCACCACCTGTGATGCCTTGAGTAGCTGAAAAATGCTTTGCTGTGCCATGTTGCAGGTTTTTAGCAGGTGAAAAACTGCAACTCTGCCTGGACAGTTGCCCTCGCTAAGCCTTTACCTTAAAAAAAAAAAAGGTCTTGGGATTCCTTCCTGAAAAGAAGGCATTTCTCAATTTTAATTCTTATTGCTACAATATTTTCTTTCCATGTCTAGATTGTGCCTGGGGAAGAGGTATAGTATTTGTGTCGGTGTAGAAGCACAGTTGAATTCTACACAGCCCTGGGAGTGTGATGAGTGAATTCTGACGGTGGCTGATCTTCCTGTCCTGTCTCTTTACAGCCCTCCGAGTGGTCCAGCCCAAGGTCCCATCATGTCGTCCCGGGTGCTCCTTCGGCAGCAGCTGATGCGGGCACAGACCCAGGAACAGGAGCGCCGGGAGCAGCAGCAGGCGGCTCAGTTCCCGGCTACACCTCCTGCACCTTCCACTCCTGCCATTTCTATGAGCCCGCTAGCTCGCCCCGCACCGGCCCAAGTCCCTGTGGAAGTACTGAAGGTAAGAAGGAGGAGGAGGAGGAGGAGAGAGATGTAGCAAATCTGGATCAAAGAGGTAGAAAATGTGCATTGTGCTCAAAGGAGAAGGGCAGACTGATTGTGTGGTGAGGATTTGTTTTTGTTTTTTTCCTTTTCTTTTTTCTCTTGGGACATGTCAGCCTTTTCAGCAAAAGAACCAAGCTGTCAGTCATTTTAAAAGGTGGCCGTTGATTGGCTGGATCTTTCATGCTTCTTTCCCTTGCCAGCGTCAGGCCCTTTTAAAGTCTGGTTAGCACACGGGGCGGGGGGGGGACCTATGTGTAGAGAGACTTGGTGGATTAGTCATTTTGCCTCAGGAGAGAAAGAGGCTTGGTCACTTTTTTGTTTCTCTTCAAATTATGTATGACAAGAGTGGGAGGGGGGGAACCCCACCAGAAATATAGAAACAAAAGTATTATGGCAGCTTAACGATGAACAGATTTATCTCCGTGTGAGCTTTTGTGGATTACAGCCCACTTCCTTCGTCATGAAAGCTGCCAAAGCTCACACTGAAAAAAACCGGTTGGTCATTTAAGGTGCCAAAAAATAAAAAAAAACCCTTCTGTTTTGGTTGTTGTGCTGTTTTTGTTAGAATGCTAAAAACAGCCTCACATGGTTGCCTCTTTAAAAACTGCTTCAAATTCTTATAGCAAATGAATGCCACAGAAACTTTTTTTAAACTTTAAAGCAGGGTGAGTGAACCTGTTTCTAGTTGCTGATAGAGTCTGCTTCTCGTTAGCTCCAGCTAAGCTGGGCTGTAATGAGTAGCAATGAGGCTGGTCGTTCACCGCTGGTGAAGTGCCACAGGTTTCCCGGCCATGTCTTGAGGGTTAAATACTGTCTTGTTTATTTATTCATTTTCTTCCCCTGTAACAGACTAATCTGGTTGGCTCTCTGGAATTCTAACTCTGATATTTGTGAAAAACTCTAGAGCATCTGAGCATGCCACCTAGAGAAAAAGGTCCCTCCCTTATGTAACTTGTAGCTATTGTTTGTTGTTAAGCCACTTTCCTAGGCAGTGGGGTCTTTCCAATGAGGCTTATCATAGAAAACAATAACATTTGATAAGGTGTTAGGAAAGCAGCATAAAATTAAATAACTTTGAAACTAGTCAAAATAAAATAGTTTCAAATATCTAGTAGATGCTAATGCCATGAAGCTTTTTCAATGAGAAAAAAAACCCAAAGACCTCTGCAGTGTCTCCTTTAAAAGCAGCCAGAGATGGAGCCAACCATGCATATTTCAGGAGGGAATTGCATAAGGTCACCACTAAGAGGGCCCTCTCTCTCATACCATCTAACTTAAAGCTGTGTGCAAGGGCAGTCGGCCTCATGGGAACAGAGAGGACCAAAAAATAAATAAATCCTTAGTTGTGCTTTTTTGTGTTATCCTGGGCATAGACATTTGCCTCTCCTAGCCCTTTAAGCTTCCTGAGGGCAGCTCATGCTTATGGGAACAGCGAACAACATTCCCTTGTTGAGCTCATCTATATTTCTTGTGCCCTGCTGTGATTCAGTCTTGAGTTAGATTAGCTATTGCATTGAGTAATGCCACTGGGGAAGGGAACAAGCATCTGGAGCTCTCAGATTTATAGAAGAGGCAGGTTTCCTTCCCTTTCCCTTTCCTTCTGTATTGTCAGAGCAGCCCCATCTCTTCCTCAGCATAAATTAATTACATTGGCAGAAGGAGATCTAGTGGTGACCATAATCCCATTCCAAGAGATCCCGGGGCCATCTTATCTAACCTCCTGTCGGAGGTTCAGATAAACCATCCCTGTCCAGTAGCCCACCCAACTTTTGTTTCAAAAGCTCTGGAAGAGGCTGAAAATGAAGTCCTTTAGTTGCTCCATGGTGTAATCAGAGATTATCTGAGGCTATTCACAGGTGCAATTAATCTGAATATGTATTTAAACCACAACAGATAAACAGGGAACAGGATCCATGAAATGAAAATACAATATAAAAGAAATCAAAGGCAAATCAATGAATTTCTTACACCATACAATGTAACAATAAGATGAAAAGTGCAAAGCAGAACAATCAGGATGAGAGTATCAGATGAAATTTTAGTTATGCATAGTCAGGCACCGATAAGCCCTTCACAAAACATTATATTTGCCCCTAATTTTCCACCAGCCCTGTAGCTGAAGCTCACTATGTTCACAGCTGTATGGCACTTTTTGGCATAAAGACTGAGAAAGAAAGGCAGATGGTTACAGGCAGTATTCTAAGAAAGAGGTTCCTAAACACTCGGGAATATGCAGGAGAGTTGATTCAGGAGAATTCAGTTGGGAAAGATCAAAAGGAAAAATTTTAAATGAAGTAGTGGAGTCACTCTGTGTGTGTGTGTGGGGGGGAGAGAGAGATTTAAATGAAGTAGTTGAGTCACTCTGGGGGGGGGGAGAGAGACATTTAAAAAAAAAACACAGTAAGGGAAGTGTAGAATCTTCCAGAAGGAGGAGCCTGACCCATGTAAACACCGAGGTTTCTCTCAGAATTGAAGCAAACTAAGGCCCAAAGACCTCAAGGCAGTCAAACTATGCAAAAGTTAAAAAAAAATGATAAAAAGTGAACTGGAAAGCATCTGCATGTATTTATAATACAATTTATAGTATTTTTTTAGCCGCACCATTACCAGTGGCTTGAATGTGTGAATGAGTGTAAACCCTGAATCTCTTTCTCCCAAGCCGCGATTGCTTTTTGTTCCACCAATGCCTCTTAATTTTCCTGCATTTTGGTTGGCTTCCTTACCTTCACCCCTAAAACTCAGTTCTGTATTGGTAGATGGCAAGTTGGGAGAAAAAGTGCATTACACCACCTTTCTTTAGTAAATATTCTCTTTGCCCTGCACGTGTGACATGATCGTACTATCTTAACCATGGTACACTCTGAGCCTGGAGCCATTGAAAGCATTCAACTTTGTAGCTGGTCCATACTGTCCATTGTCTTCCAGTTTGGCCAAAGCCTCATTGCTATCGCAATCATGTATCTATCTTTTTTCTCCCTTCCATCATGCAAAACTCCAGACTGGAAGGAATCCTCAGCCCTTTTTGCCAACAGGAAACAGTAAATCGTGCAGGTTATGAAACAAATCAAAGATTTCCTTGATGCTATTCCATAGACAGGCCATTCCTCAGGTTAGTAATCTAATCCATCAGCCACATATCTGTAGGGTCCACATGCCGTGTGCCCAATGTATCCTTGTACCCTCCTAGTTAGGCCTGATTGACAGAGGAGAGCCTGCCACCTTTCATCATAGCCTGTTCCACTGTTGAACAGCTCTTACTCTGAGATTTTCCCCCACAGTTTAGGCAGAAGCTTCTTTTTTGCCATTTGGATCCTTTAGATGGCATTATGCTTGGTTTAAGAAATGTTCCATCTTCATTATTGCTCTCAAGCCTAACTGAGAACAAAGTTCAAATTAGACTTTCCATAATTTTGGAGAAATATGTTTCTTGGTATTGCTATTTACCTCCCAGTTAAGGTAGCAGAACAATGTCAATTGAGTGAAGAGACGTGGCCGTCTTGGACTTTAGATTATGGGTATCATGAAATGGCTGTAGATGGTTTGTATTGTTAATACCAGGACTGGAGAAAGGTGCATGTGTTTTTTTGCCCACGTGCCAAAATAACTCCGCTGACTTGGATACTCCTGAGCCTTGATTTGGGTGCATCGTGGGAGATACCATTTGTTGCTCTGCCTAAGGCAGCAGAACTTCTTAGGTGTTCGTGAAAGTGCATCTTGCTCTTTTCTGCATACAATAATCATCATCATGTGCTGTATAGTCAATTCTGACCTATAGCGAGTGTTTTCAGGGCTTTCTAGGTACTTGAAAGCGGCTTATATAGTTCCTTTCTTCTGGGGGGCGCCCTGAGACTATGCAGCTTGCCCAAGGCTACACAGGCTGGTTCCATCCTTCTGAGAAGGCCAGTGGGGGAATCAAACTCCCAACCTCTGGCTCCTCAGCCAGTTACCTCAACCACTAAGCTATCCT